AAAAAAAAAAAAAAAAGGATCTGGAAAAACTAAAAGGCAAGGATCCCTTCCTGAACACCCACAGAAAGAAACCTCACCTCTTCACCTTCATCATCGTCATCTGAAGTGGAGTCAGCGCCATAGTCATCTATCATATCAGCGTCACTGTCCTCAGTGTCCCAGAGGCCCCCCTGGTTCACCACATCATCCTCTTCAGAGTCGTCTTCCTCCTCTTCCTCCTCACTGCTGTGGGTTGGTGCTGGACGCTTCTTGCCTTGAGAAGCACGGAGTAAGGACTGGGCTCCCTTCTTACCAGGTGTCTGGACAGCTCCTCCAGAGACTCCTAAGGGTTTGAATAATCCTAGACTGATGGCAGGCACACACTGATGAACCCTGTACTTTCTACCCCTAAAAATGTCCTCTGGCTGTTCCTTTCACTCCAGAAATGCTCAACAAGTCCTTCCTTACCCAGGACATAGAGGACTTCTCATGTAGCACACAGCTCCTATGTTCACTGACCTTTTGGTAACTTTCCAGGGAATGGTTTGGCCCCAGGAAACTTAGGCATCTCAAGGGCTTCAGCAGAACCCAACCTTCTCTTGGCTGCCCTGAAACGATATGTGGAGGAAACAGAACACACCTTTAGACTCTGCCATAGAAATGCATAGAAATGCAACAGTCCCCAAACAACCCTTTCCATCAGTATGATCACATGTAATCATGTGACTAAAGATGAACAGTACCAATTTCGTCTATGGAAGTCTGGACACCCACACTCACCTTTTTCGAGCACGACTAGACAGCCTCTTAGAACTTTCATCACCCGCTGTATTTAAAAAAGAGAGACAGGCAAAACAGTAGGTCACAGGGGAAATGAAAAAAGAACATTAGAAAATAAAAGTGAAGAAAAAATTAATTCACTAATTAAAGGGAGTAGGTTGTAACTTGCTTCATAGCCCTCCAGGAAGAGTTGGATGAGAGATGTAAAGATGATCTCCATCTGGTTGTGCATCACCCAAATCCAAACTGGGCCTCCCTCCAGGCTTCTGATTTCAATCAATAGCATTACTACCATCTTGAAAACAAAAGATTCAAAATTCATCTTTTCTCTCTGGCCTTGGACCTAGTGTACAGAGACATGGCTAAACGCACCAAAGGTCTGAGCTGGTAATGGGTTGGTAAATATGGGACCCGTTATGATTCCTCCTTCAGGAAAATGGTGAAAACAATCTGAAATAAGCCAGCATGGCACATACACTTGCTCCTTCTGTGGCAAAACCAAGATGCAAAGACTAAGCTGCGCAGATCTGGCACTGTGGTCCCTACACTACCACTTCTGCCATCGCCGTTAAGTCTGCCAACAGAAGACCGAAGGAGTTGAAAGACCTGTAGAAGCTCCACCATTTCAAACACTGCTAAGTCTGTAAGAAATGGACGAAGTTATGTAACAAACAAAACTGTCTTGTCTTCTCCTTTCCTTTCCTTTCCTCTCAATTTACTCAGTAACCAACCACAGATTTTACCTTTGTAGGTGATTTTTTCTTATGTTCTCCAAGGAACAGAAAGTTTAAATCTCAGCCCTGTCATTTACACGACCAAGTTTCTTAATCTCTCAGCTTTCATCTCCTTAACAATGCCTCTCTCACAGGGCGCTAAGAGAACGAGATGAATGAGGCAAGATAATGTATCCAAAAGCTTCAGTATAGTGCCTAGCACTTTCTAATACCTCAATAATCTGCACTGTTTTCTCTAAATGCCCAACACAAAGTACCTGTCCATTCTTCTCTCCCACCCCAGCCTTCCATGCAGCAGACATGTGGGAATCAGATCTGTGCCTTGCCATAGCCATGCCCTCCACAACACAACTAGTTGATGGTGACCACTTTCTTCTCAACTTCCACTTACTAACATGTCAACCATCTTCCAAAACCCAGTTTACAGTCTCTCTTTTTTTTTTTTTTAACATTTATTTATTTATTTTGAGTGAGCACAAGCAGGGCAGGTGCAGACAGAGAAAGAGAGGCATAGAGAAGAGAGAAAGAATCCCAAGCAGGCTCTGCGCTGTACAGAGCCCTACAAGGGGCTCCATCCCTCAAACTGTGAGATCGTGACCTGAGATCAAGACCTGGGCTGAGATCAAGAGCCAGACTCTTAACTGAGTCATCCAGGTGTCCCCCAGCTTAAAATCTTTTTAAACTCTGTGTAGGTCGTCTAAATTCCTTCAATGTTAAACTGGACCTCCCCTTGCATGGGTGCTTCAGTCCCTGCTACGTCTTCTGTAAGTGCTAAGGACAGTGTTTGATTCATACTTACTTTCTAATAACTCACACAATATACTCTGGTTTCTCTAGAAACTGTCTAAATTCGGTAACTCGGCTCAAAGAAAAGTCTACTTGAACAGTGACTACAGAGACTAAAAACGGAAGGGGACATGATACAGATGAAAAACTGGAGCAAAACCTAAAGAACTGGAGAAGGGAGGAGGTGAGGGGAGGAGGCCAGGCCTAACCCTTACCTGCAGGCAAGAATCTGGCTAGTTCGGTCTCAGCACCCTTCTGTTTCCGGGCCTTACGGCCTGGCCCGCGCTTCTCCTTTGCAGGGTCCAACTTGCGCCCCATAGTACTGGGGAAAAGAAAAATGGGAGAAGGTAGAGTCGCGCGTATTGGAAAGGGAAACGGAGACCGCATACGTAGCATATTAGACTGGGAAAGGGAATCGCCTCGAATCTCGACTCAGCACTCCCAACAGCCCCTAATGGCATGACAAAACCTCCATTTTATGCTGGACCCGGCCCTTGGGTCCCACACCATTTGTACTACGTCCCCCTCCCGACGCCCCAGTCTGAGTCAGTGCAGTCACCCTTCCCCAACTTCCTCCACACCCACCCGAAGCCTCGGCTCACTTGAAATAGGGTCCAGGCCCGAGAGGACCCTGGATAAGCAGCTCGGCACTCCACGTGCACTCTGAGACTAGGGTCGGACACCACACGCCACGGAAATGTTTCACGCAGGCGCACAGAGCGCTCCCGCCTCGTAGCCCCGCCTCTTCCGGTCGGCCGCAGAACCCAGAACGTAGGCTCCCCCTGGGAACGCGCGCGAGGCTGGCGGCAGCACCGCCGGAGGAAATTCGCAGGTGGACCGCTTCCACTCAGTCCCCGGGAGCGGAGAAAGCAATGCGGACGGAACGCTTTTCAACCCCCCCTCCACCCCACACACCCCACCCCGGTCCGCAAAGGGTTGGCCTCTTGCCTCATTGCAGGTATCAGTGGGAAAAACTGGTACCTCCACGCCGCCGCTCCTCCAACCAGGGCGTGAGACTTCGGCCCTCCTCCGCCCTACCATCGTCTCAAGACCAAGGAATCGCATGCTTCTCACCTCCCAGCCCTTTGATTAGGAGACCCGCTTCTTCGGCCCCCAAAACCCCCGCTCAGCCCCTTAAGTAAGGTTCGTCTCTGCCTGGGTTCACATCTCTAGAGGCTAGAGCAAGACTTGTGTCCTAATTTCACATTAGTTAAGAAAAAATTACAGCCTTCCTCCAAATAAACACTAAGGCGGTGCTTAGCAGCTGTTAAAAACATTTCCAAGCACTTTACTATTTTTATCTTCACAACTCTATGAAGAAGATACCTTTATTTTATAGGAGAAATCTACAGCCCAGGTAAGTTAACTCCCTCAGGTCACAAAGCCATGAATCAGTAGTACAGGGTATGAACCCAAGTATGGTTTTGGAGCCTCGCATTTTCCAGGTGGCAGTCATCCTTGATCCCCACCACATAAGGCACATGCACGCAGAACATGGCTCTTCTAAAGAATATCAGAACACAAGGTGACCCCCTTAGGTTTCAAATACACATTTCCCAGAGCTCCTGTCATACACACTCATCCACCTGCACCTACACCCACACTGAACCAGAGCACTAAAATACAAGGAAACTTTTATTTTCAATTTTCATCAAGAAATTTGCTGTGGTTTTTTATGCTTTTGGTTCTTTTCTTTTTTTTTTTTTTTTTTCCACTTTATTTCATTCTAGCTGCTCAGTGGCTGGAGCCGCTGGGTTCCTGGTATTAAAAAGATGCCAACAGAGGTAGCTGTGTCTCGCCCAGGGGCCCGGCCCACTCTGAATACCCCCAAAAAAGGAGAAAAGAAAACACAAAATAAACCAACAAAATAAAACCAAAAGAAGGAAGAAATTCAGATCGTTTTCTTCAAGCCTGGCGGGAACCCACAAGAGTTTGTGTGTAACAGGCGTTACGGTGGGGAGAAGCCAGGGCCCAGAAGAAGGCCAGCCCGCCAGCTCCCTGCAGATGGCGCCGGCGCTACTGCTGCATGTCTCTCCAGCAGGAAGGGCACCACCGCCCCTCACTCCCTCCCCTTCCCCAGTGCACTGGGGGCTGTTCCTTTACAATGTGGAAGATGGGGCAGAAGGAAGGAAGGGTCTCTCAGGCCCCAGGGGAGAAGCTGGGCAAGGGAAAGTGAGGAAGGTCACTGCTCAGCGGTGGAGGTGGTATCATCGATCCGGATCTTCACTGCTGCTGGGCTACCTACAGGAAAGAGAGCCAAGGGAGTCAGAATTCCAAACCATAGGAATCTACCTGATCCCAAGGGAACTCACCGGTAAGCCCCTGCACCCCCCAACCAGGAGAGCAATATTACAAGTTCCAGACTGGCTCTGCTGGAACAGCTGGCCAGAAGAAAACACTCTACCTGCTGTGGAGTAGGTTCGGGTGCTCGGTTTGCCAGGCGGCTGAGAATGTTACGCTCTGACATCTGTAGCCTCACAGCAACTGGGGGAATTCGGGCTATAGTAGCTGGGAGTCGAGTCACATCGGCTTTCATGTCACTCAGCAGTTCTTCTAGCTGTTTCAGAACTGCATGGGGTAGGGGTGCAGGGGGAAACAGACGGTGAGCTGTGGTAGTCAAGACTGAGATCCTTCTTAGCACGGTGAACCAGGCCCCTCTGTTACTTCTCAGTGATCCAAGTGACTGATGTGCTGGAGTATGGTCTGTCAGTCAGAGTCACCTGACTGGCCTCCACCATACCCAAGTTACTACTTCTTATATTCCACTTCCAACTGTCCATGATGCTATGCTTTTTTATGCCACTTAGCCCTCAATGCACTTTGCTCCATATTGTCTCGTCTGTATTCTCCCTCCATGAGAGAAGCTTATTCCTGTTTCCTTTTTTCATCATCTTCCCTCTCCAGCTTTTGGAGCTATCTCCTCCTTCCTTTGTAACAGCCTTTTTTTCCTCATTTCACCCTCCACCCCACCCCCCATGTTTGAACTTTAGTTAGAAACAAAATGTTGAAAGGGATCTAGAATCTAACTGAACCTTAAATCACCTGAAGTCACCTCTAAATTATCTCAGATGATACTCTATTATTCTGCTTTGCTTTCCACCTCCAAGAACTTGAATATATGGAGTTAAAAGAAGCAAAGAACCACTGTCCTTGATTGCCTCTAAGATATTAGCTTTTCAAGGAAGAAGGCAAAGATCCCAGCCAGAGGGACTCTGAAAGTTTTGGAAACAAGGAGTAACTATGTATTCGGGAGAAGGAAGGAGACGAGTCAGCAGGAGGCAGGGGAGCCACTGGCTACCTTTGTGCAGGACTGCATTGGCTGGCTTGTTTCCTGCCATTGACTCCTTAGACAGGTGCTGATGACTCTCCGCCAAACACTCCACCTCAGCAAAGCGGGTGTTTAGGGCCATGGAAGGGTGAGAAGGGTCCTCGGACATGTTCAGGTAAGCTGCCCGGCGCAGCTGTTCCTCAATCACCAGGGCTTGTTCTAAGAGCTAGAGAAGGATAAAGAGGAGATGGGGGTTGGACTGATACTTACTCTGATTTTTGACAGGCTTCTCAGAACCTATAAAGAACCTTACAGACGGCTCCCCCACACACAAGCAGCTCAACATCACATTGCTTTTGCTTTTTTTAATCCCCATTTGGAAGTCCATGTTTTTAAAACTCCTTGCCCTTTATTGATTTGCTTATACAAAAATGATAGTTTCAATTTAGAAAGTAGATCGTATAAAAAATTAAGATTGTAAGTAATTGCACCTCCTAAAGATACTATTAACATGTTCTGGTTTTTCTTTGCATATATATATTTTTATGTACCAGAGATCACTCTCTCTCTATAGATCTACATCATGGCTTCACCCAAAATTCCATAGTAAAAACCTTCCTTTATTATTAACTGCTCTTGACAAAAAATGCTTTTTTTTTTAAAAATTTTTTTTAACATTTACTTATTTTTTGAGAGACAGAGAAAGACAGAGCAGGAGCAGGGGAGGGGCAGAGAGGGAGACACAGAATCTGAAACAGGCTCCAGGCTCTGAGCCATCAGCACAGAGCCCGATGTGGGCCTTAAACTCACTAACCATGAGATCATGACCTGAGCTGAAGTCGGATGCTTAACCAACTGAGCCACCCAGGCGCCCCTGACAAAAGATGCTTTTTAGTGGTTGCATGATAGTCCCTTCTATGGATATACCTACCACATCATATCACTTAAGTTGTTTTACTTTTTAAAATTATTTTATTTTCTTTTGTCTCCATATCTCATTTCCATTCCCTTTCCTTCCTTCCCCAATAGGCAACGCTTATAATATACTTACTGCATGGTTTTTGGTGTTTTTGAAAACTGAATATTGGTTCATGTGCATATTTCTAATTTAACAAAATGTTGTTCTGTACACATAAAAAGCTTTTTCTTCCTTTCCCCACTTCAGATCTTTTTAATTTGTTCAATTTATGTTGTTCTATTACATATATTTTGTTTCTTCTGTTGCTTAGAACGCTTCATGATGTGAACCCACATTTTACCTATGCACACTCCCAGTGTCCCAGCTGAACATCTAGGTTGCCTACAGGCCCCACCACCAAAAATTATGCTGCAATGAACACTTACACGTCACCTGATGGAGCTACGTAAAAGGTTCTTTGCAATATATTCCAAGGGACAGAATGCTGTTTCAGAAGTTATAAGACTTAATTTGCTCAAGTATCCATCCACTGGTTCTTAAAAACAATAAAGCCATTAGGGGTCAGGAAATAGGACAGTATGAGAATAATGGGCTGTTGTTTCTTCCACAGGACATGCTTCATCAAGCAGAATAATCTATCCCCAGACAGACCAAGCATCTACTTTCAATCTACAGATCCTGTCTCCTTCACCAGCTGCCTCTTCCTGTCCCATACTATGAGCTTTCTCCAGGGCCAGCCCTCGGCTTGCTATTCTTTTAACGCACTCCCTTAAGTGATTTCTCCTTTCCCAGTTCAGCCAGCACCTCTGTGCAAATGATGCTTTTTGAACCTTCATTTCAAAGCACTGAGCGTTCTGATCCCACTCATGTGGTTGATCACTCTGATCCCACTTGTTTATGGTGATGGGGGTAGTGGGAGAACACTAGGACTTTTTCTAAAGTTTAACTCTACAAACTGCTCCCTCTTCATACTTCTCTGAACTGCCAATGATCGTTTTTCTTGGTGACTCAGGCTCAAAACTTTAGTTTGTATCTCAAATCCAATCAGTCAAGAGTCAGAAAACTATGGCCTATGGCCAAAATCTGGCACATTGGCTGTTTTTGTATGGCTCAAGAGCTAAGAATGGTTTTTTTACATTTTTAAAAAAATATCTTGTTTTTCTACGTAATCTCCACACCCATCGTAGGGCTCGAACTTGTAACCTCAAGGTCAAGAGTTGCACACTCTACCGACTGAGCCAGCCAGGTGCCCCAGTTTTTTACATTTTTAAATGGCTAGAAAAAAATCAACAGTTTGTGACACTTTATAAAAATTATATGAAGGTCAAATTTTGGCATCAATAAATACAGTTTTATGGGAACACATTCATACTTACTCGTTTATCACCTGTGGCTACTTGCACACTACGAGAGTATTTGCAACATGTACGTCCCACAAAGCCTGAAATAGTTACTATCGAGCCCTTTAATAGAAAAGGTTTGCTGACCCTACAATAAATCAGTAAAGCCTATCAATTATTTGGTATTTTGTTTCCTTTATCTTATCCTTTTCATTTTCTACAACCAGCACCACAGCCCAGCCTTTACTACCTCATGACTGTACAGCAGTTCTATAATCTCATGAATGCTGTTTCCATTTCCCTTGGTCATATCAAAACTCTTCACAATCCTTCAATGCCTGCCCATTAACTAACTATAGGGTCAAGTCCAAACTCTCATCTGGTGCCAAAAAACGCACCTACTGACCTCTAACCCTTACCTACCTCTCCAACCTACCTCCCACCATCACCCAAACAAGTGTTCTCTACAGCCCGACTGGACTACTTGCTGTTTGCAAACACCATAAGCTCTGCTGCCTCTAGGTCTCTGCCCTACCTAATCCCGTTGGTTCAAACAGCCTTCTGTTTCTATCCAGTTATCTCTATTACATTAATCAAAACTTAATTCCAATACCAGCTTCTCCACAAAACCATTTGGGAGCTCTCTTCTGGCTCCCTAATTTTCCCTGGAGAACTTCCATATGAATCCCTCCCAATACACAGAGTGGCATTCATTTTATCCCACATTTGCCTCTACCTTAAACCAAAAGTTCCTTGAGAATAGGTACCATGCCTTATTTTTGTATCCCTGTGCCACTCGTTGCTTGGCACATGTTTGAAGATTTATTAGTGTACATTTCTTACCCCCCAGTTACAGTCAGCTTAAAATCCCCATATCTTGTCTTCATGGTATCCCATTTTGATGGTCTGCACAAAGGTGCCCTCAATGTACGTTTGCCGAATTCTAGACTGAGACTCTCTTCAGCCCTGGGTTTACTAACTCTAGTGATTCTGAGAATGAAGCTCTACCTTTGCATCTCCTCTTTGCATCCACCCCACCCCTTACCCACACAGGTGCTCTCAGATGCAGACAAAAGTACCACTAGCCCACTGACAGCCCTCCCTCTTCAAAGATCCAATTCAGTCCCATCTCTGTATCTTTCCTGCACACTCCAACCTATAGTGTTCCCCCAACATATCCACTGCATGTCTGTGTCATTTATTGGTATGTATGTATTTAACTAGGCTCCATGCCCAACGTGGGGCTTGAACCCATGACCCTGAGATCAAGAGTTGCATGCCCTACTGAGTTAGCCAGGTGCCATTCTGTCTGTGTCATTTATTAGGCACAGTCATCTTCAGCCCTTGAAGAGCTGGTTAACTTTCGAGTCTCTAGGTCTTAATTTTTTTGCTTTTTTTTTTTAACTTTTTATTTAAGTTATCTCTGTATTTGTGGGGCTTGAACTCACAACCCCAAAATCAAGAGTGGCATGCTTTTCCGACTGAGTCACCCAGGTGCCCCCATATTTCTAATATTTAAGATACTTGGGAACAAAGCCTTTCACAATATAAAAAGTTAAGTAACATACACAGGAATACACAATAAACAGCATGGCTGCATGAATAGACTACCTCCTTTGTAGTCCCTTCTGCACTGTAAAGGCTGTCATTTCAGGGTGCCTGGGTGGTTCAGCTGGTTAAGCATTCAACTCTTGATTTCAGCTCAGGTCATGATCTCAGTTTGTGAGATCAAGCCCCACGTCTGGTCTCTGAGAGTGCAGAGCCTATTTGGGATTCTCTCTCCCTCTCTTTGCCCCTCCTCCTCTCCCCAAAATAAATAAATAATAAAATAAAATAAAATAAAAATGAAAGCTGTCACTTCAACATTTCATTCCTCCCCATCCTGCTCACCTTGAACCTTCGGGCTAGAAACTTATTCTTGATCTCTAAGAAATTGCCACGATTCATTTCACCCTTGAAAGGTTCATTGAGGATGGCATAGCGTGGGTCATTCTGGATGTCCTGCCACCGGGCATAGCCATGGCTATTGGAAAATTGCTCAGGAAAAACAAAACAAGGAAAGAACCTCAAACATGGGATCTTCAGAAACCTTCACCAAGAACCTCAGCCCAGACTCAGGCAAAGGATACTTTATGATGCCAGCCAGCAGCCAGTAGTCATGTCGCCGATGCCAGATCTCATAAGTCTTCTTGGTGACTGTGGCTGCCCGCTCCTCATTCTGCCAAAGGGAGTGCAACTCTGAAGAGAATTTGGGGAAGGTTGGGGAGAAAAAGAGACACAAATGTCTTTAAGAAGTCAAAAAACTCTTTATCTCTGCCCCCACAGATGCCATCTTAGTAGTATGCCATGCCTATGGCTTTCTAATACAGAATCAGCTTGACAGTCCCTCATCTAATGAAGTCTTTGTACAGGAACCCTAATTTCACTTTAGATGCTTCTAACCCCAGATGGTCCCTCATTGTCATACCAGTAAAACCACCATCTGCGATGTTGAACATAAATCGCTGTTTAATATTTTTTTTCTGCTTCTCGTCATTCAGGTCCTTGGGGGTCTCTCCATTCTGAAGCATCACCTCTTTTTTCTCTTCTTCTTCTTTCTTCTCTTCTACAGGATATGCAGAAGAAAAATATCAGCGCCATACAAAAGCATAGCACCTTGGCCTTTACCCACAGCATTATATGCTGCAAGTATCTAGCCACCTCCACCCTTTCTCCACACTGTTTCTCAAACCCAGAAAAAGATGCCACCGGCCCATGACAATCATATGTAGGGACAGATGGAGTCTTTTAGCTTGGGATAAAATAGCTATATGGGTGTGGATGGGAAGAGGCCAGGGGCTATCCCAGAGATAAAATCCTTGCATCTAGTTTTAGAGTCCTTTTTAATCATAACCAGCTTCTCCAAACACCCACCTTTGTCCTCTACCACAATGGGAGTCAGATCTACTGCTGACTTCTCCTCTACCTTCTCCACGTCAGCAACACCTGGGGAGAACAGATGGCATCGAGAGAGTATAAAGAAGAAAGTTTTGGGGTGCTTGGCTGGCTCAGTCACAGACATGCAACTCTTGATCTCGAGCTTGTGAATTCAAGCCCCATGTTGGATATACAGATTACTCAAAAATAAAATCTTTTGGAGCACCTGAGTGACTCAGGGATTAAGCATCAAACTCTGGATTTTGGCCCAGGTCATTCATGATCTCACAATTTGTGGGACTGAGCCCTGAATCTGGCTCTGCACTGATAGCACAGAGCCTGCTTGGGATTCTCTCTGCCCTTCTCCCATTTGCGTGCACTCTCTCTCTCAAAATAAATAAACGTTAAAAAATAAATAAATAAAGGGGCACGTGGGTGGCTCAGTCAGTTGAGTGTCCAACTTCAATTCAGGTCATGATCGAGCAGCTCGTGGGTTTGAGCCCCACTCAGGCTCTGTGCTGACAGCTCAGAGCCTAGAGCCTGCTTCGGATGTCTCCCTCTCTCTCTCTCTCTCTGCCCATCCCCCCACTTGCACTCACTCTCAAAAAAAATAAAACATAAAATTTTTTAAAATAAACATTAGGGGCGCCTGGGTGGCGCAGTCGGTTAAGCGTCCGACTTCAGCCAGGTCACGATCTTGCGGTCTGTGAGTTCGAGCCCCACGTCAGGCTCTGGGCTGATGGCTCAGAGCCTGGAGCCTGTTTCCCATTCTGTGTCTCCCTCTCTCTCTGCCCCTCCCCCGTTCATGCTCTGTCTCTCTCTATCCCAAAAATAAATAAACGTTGAAAAAAAAATTTTTTTTAAATAAACATTAAACATTTTTTTTTAACAAAACAAAAATAAATAAATAATAATTAATTAATTGACTTAAAAAAGAAGGGGGCTCCTGGGTAGCTCAGTCAGTTGAGCATCTGACTCTTGGTTTCAGCTCAGGTCATGATCTCACAAGATCTAGCCCCAAGTGGGGCTCTGCACCGACAGCACAGAGCCTGCTTGGGATTCTCTCTGCCCCTACCCTGCTCATGCTTGCTTTAAATTTACATATTAACTTAAAAAACAAAATAAAAAAATAAAAATGTTCTCTGTTCGTCACCATAACCAAATGGAACAGTCTTTTTTTTTTCTTCTTAAGTTTATTTATCTACTTTGAGAAAGAGACAGGGGAGTGAGAGCACATGCAAATGGGGAAGGGGCAAAGAGAGAGAATCCCAAGCAGGCTCTGCACTGTCAGCAAGGAGCCTGACTTGGGGCTTGAACTCACAAACCCTAAGATCATGACCTGAGCTGAAGTCTGACGCTTAACTAATCTAATCGAGCCACCCACATGCCCTGGAACAGTCTTAATCCTAAATCTCCATGATTAACATCATAAAAGACATCTTAAGGGGGAAAAAACCCTCAATTTAAATTCAAGGGTGCAAGATTCTTCAGGGTTTCACTTCTTCCTGACACCCCATAGCCCAGTTAAAAGTCCAAGAGCTTCACAGGGATCTGCACAATGTAGTACTTGAAAATGTGGATACCTTTGGGCTCTGTCTCCATCGATTCCTCTGTTCTCTCCTTCACCTCTGCCTTTTCCACTTTCTCCTCTCCCTCGGGAGGTTCAACAAGGACTTTTTCATCCTCTGAGGCAGGGGCAGGGGGTTGTGTACACTTCAAAGGAAAAAGACGTAAGTTGAAGCAAACAGGCCAACGATCGAAAAGGATGAACGGGCTTATCCATTTACCTTTGGTATGGCATCCAGTCACCCACATCTCTTACCTCAACAGTGGCCTCTGGGGCTGCAGATTTAACCTCCTTTTCTCCTTCTGCACTCTCGTCTTCTTTGAGGCTATTCTCTTCTATTTTTATCCCATCCTCTGCAGACCAACAGAAGACAATTAATTAGGAGGAAGGTCCTAGACCAGCGAGAAGGTCATACCCGCTCAGTTTGTCTCATCTTAAGTTGTCCTCTCGTGCCTTTAAGAGCCAGCCCTATTCTTAGGACGGCTCTCCTAAACTGAGAGGGAGATTGCTCTGTGTCCTGCCAGACTCCCCTGTTAGAGCTGAGCACAAGGGAGCAGACAAAGCATAGGCAAGGACAAAAGACAGAAAAAGAGAGTACAAGCACACTTACCAGCAGGTGGGGCAGGTGCAGGGGTATTGGGTTGTGTGTCCCCTGGAGTGGAGGGTGTGGGAGTCTTTGGGGAAGGTGACCCTGGCTGGGACATTTTCTTGTTCTCCTCTACTTCAGCAAGTTCAGGCATGCTCCAGCGCCCATTGACATGTTCAAACTCCTGAACCTGGAGCAATAAGACAAGATAGTGAAGACTCAATTCCAGCTCTAGGCTCCTTTCCTATTGGCCCTCCAGTTTCCCCTACAAACTCTGAACAATGAAAAGAGGCTCAGGGCTCACCTTCTTTCGAATCAAGGACATGACACCAATTCTAGTAAGGACATGCTGGCGAGACAGGCCTTCTCGGGGGACACCATCAGCAAAGGTCTCAGCCCCATCTGCCCCCGGCTCACATAAATGTCGCATAAAAAGAGACACATAAGCCCTGTAGTAAGGAAGTGAAAAATGAGTTAAACAGCTATCAGGCCAACTCCTAGATGAGATCTTTCCAACCACTTAGGCATTAACTTAGGCAACAACCACTCTGGCTCCATCTTGAGATAAAGCCCACAATCGCATTGAAGGATGGTTCTCCAGATCCCACACCACGCCCCAGGTTCTCTTCTAGGGAAGCTAGAAACACAAAGAGCCCTATTACCTATTACTTCACCCATCAACTTCAACAGAGAACACGGACAATTTCCCTGCAAAGCCTGGACGAGTAGTGTGGAATGACCAGAGATTAAAAACTCTTGCTCTGTACAGTCACTCCAGCTCTCAACTTACTTGAACTCTTTCTCTGATTTGCCTCGCAGATCTCTCACAAGCCACTGGGTGGTAAAAGCATCCTGAGGTGGCATCCCATATCGCATAATTGCATTAAGAAAGGCTTTTCGCTGACGAGCATTAAAGCCAAGTACCTACAAGAAGAAGGAGCCTACGTGAGAGGGAGCAGGTCTTACTCCATCAAAGACCAAATATCAAGCACTCACCCATCACCCCTCCTTAGAATCAAACAGCACTTACTTCAATATTCCCACCAACACGGGCCAACAGAGGAGGCAATGGCTTATCTTTATCATTCCGCAGGCCCTTGCGACTGGGCCTGCGGGGAGCTGCAAAAAGAAAAGGAGGCATAAGCGACACGGACAGAGGTATTAAACAAAGTAACATTTAAAAGTCAGCAGAAAGGCATAGCCCTCACCTTCTGAGCGTTCATCAAAGTCTTCATCACCTTCCTCTGAGGCCACTGAATAATCGGACTGGTTGTCGGACTGGTCGTCCTGCCAATCTGGAGGGAGAGAGGGCAGATGAGCGGGGCCCACTGCTCTAGTGGAACGGCCCATGGGTGGGGGGCGGGGCCGGCCACACACACCTCGGTCCTCCTGGGAGCCATCATTGTAGTTGACCTGTTTACGGATTCTTTTTCCTTTGCCCAGATTTCGGGCTAGATCTTCTTGCTGCTGCTCATAATGGTGCCGCAGCAATTTCTCCCAGTAGTCAGGATCCACACTTTCTTCCTGTTTTATGATTTCTCGTTCTACCTCCTCTTCCTCCTGGGACAGAGGGAGGGCCAGGACTCAGGGGTGCTGAAGTCAGCACCACCAGCTACCCCTGGTCCTCACAGTTCCCACTGTGCTAGCTCCTTTTCAGGACTGGACTCTGAAATACTTAGTGTGCCTGGTTGGACCTAAGAACTTAAGAGAAATTTAATTGACAGGACATGGCTCCTCATAATTACATAGAGATTAGCAGTCAACATAACTAAAGAAAAACGTGAGATGACGTTATCACAAGAGAAGCATGAAGAGACAGTATGCTTTCTTCTAACACTTTTTACTGAGACCTACACAGTTGGGAGACAGCAAAATATATGAAAAAGAGATTAGATAGGAAGGGAGAATAGAAGGGCTTCTGGGGGCGCCTGGGTGGCTCAGTCGGTCAAGTGGCCGACTTCGGCTCAGGTCATGATCTCGCAGACCGTGAGTTCAAGCCCTGCGTCGGGCTCTGTGCTGACAGCTCAGAGCCTGGAGCCTGTTTCAGATTCTGTGTCTCCCTCTTTCTGACCCTCCCTCGTTCATGCTCTGTCTCTCTCTGCCTCAAGAATAAATAAATGTTAAAAAAAAAAAAATTTTTTTAAAAAGGGCTTCTGAAATACTACAAAAAATCTTCATAAGAGATAAAGTAGAAGGACCATAAGCTCTTCTGTTCTTCATAATTTCATAAAAATTTGCCAACTGTGTGCAAAAAACAAAACCAAATTATACATACATACTCTCTTATGTTCTAGTAATGTTTACGTTCCTCCAAAAATCTTTTTTTCAGACACTTCAAGACCAGTAACTGATTCCAAATCCCTTACATTAGAACTAAACCACTACTAACAGCATATTAGAAACACCCTAAATGTCTATCATTATGGAACTAACTGAACCAATTCCTGGGGGTGGGGAGTGGGCAAAATGGATGAAGAGGGTCAAAAGGTACAAATCTCCGGTTATAAAATAAACAAGTCCTGTGAATATAACACACAGCATGGTGATTACAGTTAATAATCACCGTATTGCATATTTGAAAGTTGCTGAGAATAGATCTTAAAAGTTCTCATCACAAGAAAAAAAAATGCACAACTATGCATGGTAACAGATGTTAACTAGACTTACCAGGTGATCGTTTCACAAAATACATAAATATCAGATCAATTTGTTGTACAACAGAAACTAAACATATATGCTGTCAATTTTACCTCAATCTTAAAAAATAAATCATGGGGGCGCCTGGGTGGCTTAGTGGATTAAGTGTCCAATTCTCGATTTCAGCTCTGGTCATGATCTTATGGTTCATGGGATCCAGCCCCACGTCAGGCTCTGATGCTAAGAGCACAGAGCCTGCTTGGGATTCTCTCTCACTCACTCTCTCTCTCTCTCTCTCTCTGCCCCTCCCCCGCTTGCTTGTTCATGCTCTAAATAAATAAATAAATAAATATTTAAGTAAATAAATAACGGTACTTACAAACAAAGATATATTATGCAGCAAAAAAAAGGGGCGAAGGGGAGGCCTGGTTGGCTCAACTGGTACGGCACATGACTCTTGATCTCAGGGTTATAAAGTATGAGCCCCACACTAGGTATAGAGATTAGTTAAAAAATATATAATCTTAAAAACAATTTTTTTTAAAGGAGGAGGAGCTCTTTATGTAATTTATTTGGGCTAAATCTCCAAGATTAATCAAATGGACAAAAAGCAAGGTACAGAACATCATATATGACTACTTTTGAGTTTAAAATGAAAAGGGAAAAAAGTGTTTATATGTGTGTATGTATGTATATATAGGCACATGCATGTATACATACGTATGAATGTAATTTGTATGCACATAAAATACCTTTAGGAAAATATACAAAAAACTGAAAACTTCAGTTATCCCCAGGGAGGGAACTAGATGGGAAAGAGATACCTTGGTATCTTCTGAATTTTGAATGTGTGCATTACTACTTATTCAAAAAATACAATTTAAAAAATCTTATAAGGTAGATGGCAGCCACAGCTGCTAATGAGAGGGCCATTTGTATACCTGAGTAGTCAACAGCAGAGGTTATCAATGGGAGGACCACCCTCCCTTCCCAACCATTCAGCATGTGCTGCCCCAAGCCAATCACCCCTCCATGAAGTCACTGCCCAACAGAAACACAAAGCACCTTACAGGAGGGCGGTTTTGACTGAATACTACAGCCCACACACCTATGTCAGACTTCTCAGTCACAGTTCCAACAGAGTCTAGTAGCATCATCTCCAGAAGAAAACAAAGAGAACAGGTATATATCACAAAAACACAGCAATAAGGGGGGGATGGTTTTGAGTTGGAAAGCTGGGAAAAGATGGCAAAGACTGCCAGAAAGCTATGCCAATTCAAAGAACTCTGAGTTGAATGGTCTAAAGAGGACCAGAAGAAAAAGTCAATTTGTTTTTTTCATTTTATACTCTACTTTTGGGGGAGAAAATTATTAAAGAAGCCACACATTCATCAGTTTTAGGGTTTTTTTTTTGTTTTGTTTTTGGTAAAAAAGGAAGAAAAGAAAAAGGGAAAACAGTTCTATTGCTATAAAAAGTACAGGGAAATAGGGGCACCTGGGAGGCTCAGTTGGTTAAGCAACTGACTTCGGCTCAGGTCATGATCTCACAGTTTGTGAGTTGGAGTCCCACATCAGGATCTCTGCTGTCAGCACAGAGCCCGATTTAGATCCTCTGTCCCCTTCTCTCTCTGTGCTCTTCCTCCACTCACTCATTGCACACACGTGCGAGCGCCTGCTCTCCAAAATGAAAATACTAAAAAAAAAGAAGTACAGGGAAATAGGCTGCCCAGATATGTATTTCATCTCCTGCCTTTTCTCCCAAGAGATTTGAGATAGAAATCAAAAGTTTATTTGTAGGATCAATAAACTACAGAAGATAAAATGAGATTCTGATAAGGAAGAGCTAATATATATATAAATGTTTTGAGTGTGAAATTTGGCTATGAGTTTCCTGATAGCCACGGCAAAAATGAGAATGTGACTGCCCATGTGTCATAATATTTACTTTCAAAGAGGTATATCAATTCAATGTACTGATTTACCTACAGATGTTTTCCTCTTGTCTCAAATACCATCCTGGTTGCAATAACAAATTCCAGACCAGTCATCAAGCACAGCATTGCCTTGGACTCATACTCACCCCCATCTCTTCTTCCCGCACCACGTACTGGGCCACTTTGAATGAGCTCAAATATTCATTCATGCCCTGCAATTCTGTGTCTTCTGTCTCATCCTGGTTACGGTCCAGAAGTCGCTCAATGGCCTTATCATCATAGTGGATAACACTGCTATCTTCTCCCTCTTTGTTGTCTCCTCCTACAAAGAATCAGGGGTCCATACCCTCAAAGTCAGATTCAGCAGCTGCAGTGAAAAAGCAAGTCCCACAGGACCCTAGGTCCAAGTCTCAGGACCCTAAGTATCAAATATACCCTCTAGAGAGGCCAAGCCCCACACCAAAACAAGTTCCTGACTAGCTCACCTCCATCTGTGGCTTCATCCTTAAATAGTTCTTCAGTGCCAAACTTGAGGATGTCATCAAGCTCCTGTTTGGACATGGATCCAGTCTTGGAGCCCAGCCCAGGCCGAACCACTAGATGCGTCAGCATCATCTTCTTCTTCGCCACCTGCGTGATGCGCTCCTCCACTGACGCACGGGTCACAAACCGATATATCATCACCTTCTTATTCTGCCCAATACGGTGAGCTCTACTAAAAGCCTGAAGGTGGGCACGATGCAAAGTCAGAAACTCAAGTAATCCTATTTTCCTGCTTCTGCGTTTGCCTTCACACAAACTTCCCCCCCCCAGACCCCACCTTCTCTGTTACCCCCAAATTAAGACCTTGGCTAACCCAAACTCTCTGGTTCACAATAAGGTAAAAGACACAAAAAGAATCTACTGTTTTCCCCTGAAACAACTAATTCCAGATGGTGGAGCCCTCACAGAGAACACTGCATTACCAATAAGTTACTGTATATGAAGGCAACTACCTCTGCTCACCTGGATGTCATTATGGGGGTTCCAGTCAGAGTCATAGATAATAACTGTGTCAGCAGTGGCCAGATTGATTCCAAGGCCCCCAGCTCGAGTAGAAAGCAAGAAGCAGAACTGTTGAGCACCCGGTGCTAAGGAAGGAACAAAAATCATTAGAAGGGTCTCCTGAGGGGCACCTGGCTGGCTTAGTCAGTAGAGCATTTGACTCTTGATCTCAGGGTTGGGAGTTCGATCCCAAAGTTGGGTGTAGAGATCACTTAAAAATAATTAAAAAATCTTAAAAAAAAAAAAAAAAAGTGTCTCCTGAATTCCAATTAATAAATGTAGAAAGAATGTCAGAAATACAAAACCTCATCAGGCAAACATCAGAGTAGTAAAAGTTTGAGAAGAAACAGTGCATGACCATACTCTCAAATACCTCCTTCATCCAGTTATGTAACAGATAAATCGTGGGGGTGAAAGGCACAGCATAGAGAATATGGTCAGTGATACTGTAATAGTGTTGTATGACAGATGGTAACTACACTTGTGGTGAGCAGAGTGTAACTTTTAGAGTTACACTCTAAGTTCACTACCTTGCACACCTGACACTAATGTTAACACTGTGTCAAATATACTTCAACTAAAAAAAAAAAGATATTTATCAATTACAATGTGAAAAAGAGTAGCTTTACGGTGGAGAAACTAAGCAGGTATCACCTGAACTGAAGGATCAAGGTTAACATTACCAGTAATGAGACATTATCAACATCATGTCCTCCCCCTGACATGATACACCAAAAATAACACTGTGGGGCACCGGAGTGGCTCAGTCGGTTAAGCAACCAACACTTGGTTGCAGCTCAGGTCATGGTCTCATGATTCGTGAGTTCAAGCCCCACATCCAACTCTGCATTGATGGTGCAGAGCCTGCTTGGGATCCTCTCTCACCCTCTCTCTCGCTGCCCCTCCCCCACTCATTTTCTCTTCCTCTCTCTCACTCTCAACATAAATAAATTTAAAAAACATGGAGGGGCACCTGGGTGGTTCAGTTAAGCATCCAACTTTTGATTTCAGCTCAGGTCATGATCTCATAGTCTGTGAGACCGAGCCCTGCAAAAGGCTCTGCGCTGGCAGCACAGAGCCTGCTTGGGATTCTCTCCTCTCTCTCTCTCTCTGCACCTCCCCTCCATGTGCGTGTGCAAGCGTGCACACTCTCTCTCAAAATAAATGAACATTTTTTAAAAAGTTCTTTAAAATAAATGGGGGGGGGAAAGAACACGGCATTGCTTCTATGGTATTCTTGTCCAAAAAGTCTAAAAACCTCAATCTACTCATGAGAAAACATCAGACAAACCCAAACTCCCAGACATTCTACACAATAAATAACCAGCAATCATAAAAAGTTATCAACAATAGGGGTGCCTGGGTGGCTCAGTGAGTTAAGCAGCCAACTTCACTCAGGTCATGATCTCCTGGTTTGTGAGTTCGAGCTCCATGTCAGACCCTTTGCTGACAGCTCAGAGCATGAAGCCTGCTTTGGATTCAGTGTCTCCCTCTCTCTCTGCCCCTCCCCGTCTCACACTCTTGTCCCTGTCTCTCAAAAATGAATAAACGTTAAAAAAAAAAAATTTTTTTTTAAAGTATCAATGGCACGACAACAAAGGAAAGAATGAAGAAATATGTCAGACAGAAAAAGACACAACAACCAAATGTAATGTGGGATCTAATACTGGATCCTGAAACAGGAAAAGGACATTAGGAGGAAAACTGGTGACATTCAATTAAGGTCTACAGCTTAGTTAGTAGTATGACATCACTCATAATTTCCTGCTTTTGACAGTTGTACTGTGGTTATATAAACTGTTATCGTTAAGAGAAGTTGAGCGAAGATATATGTGAACTCTGTATTATTTTCTTCCGACTTTTAAGTCCAAAATTATTTTAAAATAAAAAATGAGGGGGCGCCTGGCTGGCTCAATCAGGAAGAGCGTACAACTCTTGATCTCGTGGTCATGAGTTTGAGCCCCATGGTGGGTGTAGAGATTACTAAAATAAATAACCTTTTAAAAAAATAAACAATATAAAAAAATGAGGAGGGGGGAGGGGTGGCTACGGAGACAAGTCTGCCACGAAATTGCTAATTGAGCTTGGGTTAAGTCCTGCTCCCTCTGTGGGCCTCAAGATACAATGAAAAAGGTTAATTAAATACAACGCTCTTCTTCCAGCAGAAAGAACGAAGACTCCAACAAAAGAAAAAAAAATCTGCTAGGAATAGTTCAACACATTCTTCCAATCAAAGGCATTCAAATGCTTTAATTCTTCCATATCAATTGACAAAAACTCAAAAGAACCACACAGAAAAGCAGATACACAAGAACAAGTAATCCATCCAAAGACATGAGTCAATGAGAATTCCTGGATTGAAGGTATTCCTTTCCTCTTACCATTGAAGCGGTCAATGGCCTCTTGTCGCATGTTCCCAGTTATCCCACCATCAATACGTTCATACTTATAACCTTCATGTTCCAAGAAATCCTCCAACAAGTCCAGCATCTTGGTCATCTGGAAAAGGAGCAGAGTTTAATTAAAGGGGAGTCAGATGGTAACTGCTTTCCTCACGTCACTGACGGTTGTCTACTGCTCCCTCTCAAAGCTCCCAGCTCCTCCTACACAATACCTGAGAGAAGATGAGTACACGGTGCCCACCCTCCTTAAGGTTCTTAAGCATCTTCTGTAGCAGCAATAATTTTCCAGATGCTCGGATTAGAGCACTGCCATCATACATGCCATTGGGCATTTTAGGGGCTTCCTGAAGAAAGAAGCAAAAAGAAAACAACACTGAACAAAATGGAGCAATTCCAACCCAGCAAAGAACGAGAGGAGGCACAACATACCATCGCAGCCACAGGGAAAAGATATGGGTGGTTGCAGCACTTCTTAAGATCCATCACCACATTCAGCAGAGAGACCTGGTTGCCACCCCCTCGAGCATTGAGTGCTTCAAAATTTCGAGTGAGGATGTACTTGTAGTATTTCCTACATGGGCAAAACAGAAAGAGAAGTCAGATTCAAGAGCCTTCATAGGACTTACAACCTTTATACAACTCCCAAGACAGTCCCAAGGTCTGAGATCTTCCTTCCAACATATCTTGCTTCAGGACTAAGGAAACCTAACAAGCACCACCAACACCAACAGCACAAACACCATCATGTTAAATAAAGTACTTAACTAAGTAAGAACTATGACTAGAAACAATTAGGTTTCTGTAGACTTTGCTTGTTCCTATCACCAGATGCCTTGAAGCAGAATGCAGGGAGGAATAAGAAACACTTGGCAAACTAGTAGATGTCTATCCACAAAATGGAGTCAGTGCTTCTGTCCCTTCTGACTTACTTCTGCATGGGGCTCAGCTCCACACGCACAATCAGTTCTGTCTTGGATGGCATATTTTTGAACACGTCAGCTTTGAGCCGCCGCAACATGTGAGGGCCCAGCATATCGTGCAGTTTTTTAATCTGGTCTTCCTTGGCAATGTCTGCAAACTCCTCCAAAAAGCCTTCCAAATTGCTTCAGAAAAAGAAAAGACAGTCATATAGGAAATGGGCAACAGGAAGAATTAGAAGCAGAATTATCAGCTGATTACAGATAAACACACACTTACTGGAACCTCTCTGGGGTGAGAAAGTTGAGGAGATGAAACAACTCTTCTAGATTGTTTTGTAATGGAGTCCCGGTCAGCAACAGTTTGTGTTGAAGTGAGTAACCATTTAAGACCCGGAAGAACTGGAGAAGCAGATGGAGAAGATAAAATTCAGTGAAAAGAGGGCTCCAGTATACCTTTGCAAACTAAGCTTATTTTGCTGCCCAATGGTTAAGCTGCCATCTCCCCTCCATTTCCATCTCCCTTTTAAGGTCTGACCACCAAGGAGTATCACAAGTAAGGAAGGAGTGCAGAAGCCATTTGACCAGTTCCTCTCCTCCTAACACTCCCCTTAATGAGTAGGTGGCACTAAAAAACTAAAACTGGAGGCCATAACCTCCCTCCCCCCTTTCTTCTCACCTTTGACTGATTGTTCTTGAGCCGATGCGCTTCATCCACAATGAGGCATGCCCAATCAATGGAACCCAAGATAGCCATGTCAATGGTGATCAACTCATAAGACGTCAGCAGCACATGGAATTTCACAGATGCCTCTTTCTGCACAAGGAGGTGACCCGGTCACTAATGTTCAACTCCTCCAGTGCAGGCAAACCCAAGGGACTTTCCCTCCCCCCAACTGTTATCCTTCGGCCTCACCCCACTCTAAGCAGACTAAGCCCACATCAACAACTCTCTAAGGTGGTCTCCCTCCCAGTGAGATACCTTCATGCGAGAGGCTTTCTTGCCACCACGAATGGCGTTGTCTTCAAAAGAGAACTCATTCTCTCGGATGATGGCACGGCTGTCTTTGTCACCCACATACGTCACCACATACATATCTGGAGCCCACATTTCAAACTCCCGCTCCCAGTTGATGATGGTAGAAAGAGGGGCACTCACTAGGAAGGGGCCTTTGGAATGACCCTTGGAGAAAGAAGAGAAGTGGCAGAATAAGGACTGAGGGCCCCAACACAATGCTGGCCCAGCACCCACCTCTACACTAGGACCAGCTGAGGGCTGGCACGTGTGCTGCTGCTCCTATCCTCACCTTTTCAACGCCCTGCCTACTCCTTCCCACAAAGTCACACTCGCCTTTACAGGGAGTTTAAAACCCAATTTCTTCCTACAAGTCTTTCCATGCTAATTCCACTCACAACTCTGCTCATCTCAACAGGTATTCTCCCCCCAAGGACTGAGGCTCTATGCATCCACCACTGATTCTACCCAAGGTTCCATCCACTTCGTCTGTCTCTATGTACACATGTCTGTCTTAGAGGCACTTGGGTGGCTCAGTTGGCTAAGCATCTGACTCTTGGTTTCAGCTCAGGTCATGATCTCCGTTTTGTGAATTCAAGCCCGACATCAGGCTCTGAGCTACAGTGTGGAACCTACTTGAGATTCTCTCTCTCTCCTTCTCTGTCCCTCCCCACTCGTGCTGTCTCTGTCTCTTAAATAAACAAACTTAAAAAAAAAAAAAAAAGCGTCTATCTTCATGTCATTCCACAGTGTTCTTCAAGGTCTGGGACCAATTATTTTCTTCCTTTTTTCTTTCTCCTCATTGTGTGAAAAGACCACGAACACGAAATACCCATACACAAAAACCTCACAGCCCCAACTTTCGTACCTCCTTGTACAGAGAATAGAGGAAGACTGCTGTTTGGACAGTCTTCCCAAGGCCCATCTCATCAGCCAAGATGGTGTCGGTGCCCTGAGCCCAGGAGAAGCGCAACCAGTTCAAGCCCTCCATCTGATAGGGGTGTAGGGTTCCACCTGTAGCATCCAGGTACTCTGGCTGTCGCTCATACTTCACTGTTGGCTGAAGAATGAAAGGAAGAAGTGAAGAGCTGGCCAGGAACTCCCTACCTTCCGTAAGACAGAAGCTGCCTCCTCTTCACACATCCTCACTAGATCCTCAAGAGCCACAAAGAATTGTGGGGAGGGGCACCTGGGTGGTTCAGTGGATTGAGCATCCAGCTTCAGCTTGGGTCATGATCACAGTTTGCGAGTTCGAGCCCCACATCAGGCTCTCTGCTATCAGCACAGAGCCCACTTTGGATCCTCGGTCTCCCCCCCTCTGCCCTTCCCTGCCCCCTTCTCTCAAAATAAATAAACACTAAAAAAAAAAAAAAAAAAAAAAAAAAAAAAAAAAAAAAAGAAAAGAAACGTAGGGGGAAAATATCCTTAATAGCTATTGTAATCTTGTGTTTTATTTAGTATCCTCCAGGAAGCAAGGCAACTAACCTATCAGGCGATCAGAGATCTTGGTCTTAAAATCTCACGAAAGACACATCATAGCCTCCCTAGCAATACAATAATTCTACTACACAAGAGCCACCAGGTAAATAATCATATGTTCCCCCTGGAGTCATCTTTTTCACCTTAACAGTCCTCATATTATATTACACAAATAAAACCCACAGGAACTGAACCCTGAATTAAGGGTCAGAAGACCCAGGTTCCGATAAGTTTCTTAACACTTTCTCAATCGTAGAAAGCATATGTCCTATGTTTTTATTTTTCTGATGATGCAAAGAGAAAATGATCCTAGTATTTCCCTCGTTCACAGAGATGTGGAGAAGTGGGGAAGCATTCTAGCTCTGAAGTTCCTACCGGCAGAGTGCCATCGATAGACTGGAGCACACAAGATTTATCGTCCAACCCAACAAATTGTGCCCTCCCTCTTCTGCCCCAACTCACATCAACTGTTGGAGTTTCAGGAGGCCTCTCCAACTTCCTCAGCTTCACCTTCTTGAGCTTCTTGCCTGGTCGTCCTTCCTCACCCCTCATTAACTCCCTAAAGAAGACAGACAACACAAGGCTGCCTAAGGTCCTTCTCAGTAAGAACCAACTCCACACCTCACCAAAGTCACCCACCTGTGGTTCCAATAGCTCTGCTTGAACAGGTCATAGTCCTGTATCTCCACATCCTCACTCTCCCAGGATGCCTGATCATAGGGTAAGTCCCGCCACTTGATCAAGTAATGGACATGGCCCTTCTTATCCACACTGCAAGGTCAAGGAGAAAAAAAGTCCTCAGAACCAGAAGGCCATGCTCCTCTTCTCCTAAGTAAGCCTCGCTTTCAAATACTGCCAGTAATGTATGTTCCAAACAGACTTCTAGGAAGGCCAAATGCCACATATATGGAGTCTCTACCATACCAGTCTCTGGACCTAAAATTACATCTACTCTAGTCTTCTATGGTTCAAATACCAGGATTCAGTCAGTTAATAGTAATGTATGGAGCATACATCTCTTCCAAGTTTAAGTTACTGGTGACATCTGTTTCCTCAATTCCTTTGGCAGCAGTCTCCCAGTGGACATGCTGCCTATTTCCAGCATGCCCAAGACAGCCACCAGTCTGGCCCAGCTCCTCTGGTACCTGTGGTTAAGAATTCGGTGGATCATCATCCACTCAGGTTTTATCCCATAGCGATAGAAACGTTCCTCCATCTCTGCAAATTTAGGGTCTTTGTTCTTGCGCTTTCGGCTCTTCTCTTCATCACCACCAAAGTCCCCAGACGGTGGTTCATCCATATCGTTCTTCCGCTGGTAGTTTCGAAACATCACTTGACAGTGCAGCTCCAACTGCAAACAGAAAGGGGTTGATTCAGTCACTGAGGAGTGGCATTCACTCCTTCCATCCACAAGGCTGTTTTTCATGACCCTCTCCATTGTGGCCCCCAGATCTCTAGCCTTCCCAGGTTTACCTGCAGTTCAGACACCCAGGAGCAGTGCCAATAAGACATGCCTTGCCATTTCACAAAGAACTGCCGCTCTGGCCGCCCCTCCAGGGGCTTAGGGGAGGGAGTATTGGGATCAGCATCTGGAGGCCGAGGCACTGGTGTGGGAGATGGTGGCTGACCCCACTTCCAGATTAGAATCTTCTGAACTTTGCCCTTAAGAGCTGGACACTGAGAGAAAAAGATGATTCAACACCAAATCATTACCAAGGGGAGGAAATGATACAGCCCACAGCCTCAACATTATCAAAGAATTATTAAAATAACACTTCTCATTTTAAAAAGAACCATTCTAGTAAAGAATAATAGAACTCCCTCTCTCCACTTCTGGAGCCTAGAACTCCTCTCTATGAAGTAACTGAAAAGCAATTAAGTGACCCTATCAAACCATTCTAAACCACCAAGACCTAATGGATGCTCTAGGATGGAAGAACACTGCTCTACTCTCCTTAAGAGAGCTGGCAGAGCATCAACTCCTCTGTTCAAAGTTAGTCTTACATTTTCCCAGACAAAAGTATCCCCAGACTGCATGAGAAAGGAAAATACCTATCTCAGGGCTAAAAGATACAGTTCTCCAATGACCTCTCCTGCACCTCAGCCTCCTGATGCCTACATATAGAAGAGATAAACCCTCTGCTAGATTACACTATCCACACATCCCACCCTGGCTGGGGTCAGTTAACTCACCGTACAACGGGGACAGAGCCATTCACCATTAGGGATCTCTGGAAGTGGGGGGTTCAGACAGTGGATGTGGTAGGATGAAGGACAAGTGTCACAGCAGAGCAGTTCCCCACCGTCTTTACAGACACGACAGAATTCCATATGGTGGTCATCCTCCTCTTCAGGGTCTCCTCCAACCTCTTCCAGGATCTCCTCACCCTCCGAATTGTCCTCTTTAGCCTCCCACTGGATGCCTTCCTTCTCCTGCAGTAAAAGTCCAGAGTCAGATTATTACCACCCCCCACCCACCCACCCAAGTCTGAACCACACTCATCATTTTTTTGAATGTTTCCCAAAGTCCACACCAGCAACACCACCCAAGCCCAAAAGATCTTTGATGACCCCACCCTTCCTCTTGAGGGTTCCAAAAAGCCACAATGGCCAGGTACTCACGCAGTGTGGGCAGCTCCACTTGCCCTCAGGAGCCTTCTCCATATCCGGATCCAGGCAGACCATGTGGTAAGCTCGGGGACAGGTATCACACAGGATGATCTCACCGCCTTGCTGGCACACCTCGCAATAGTCCTGGTGGTCTGTCTCATAACCATCCACAGCAGTCACCTCCTCCTCGCCTGGGCAAGGAAGAGGGAAAGCCCAGTTATTAGAAAAAAACTACCTCCCCCCACCCCCTCTAAAATAAACCAACTCCTATCTCCTTAGGGAGATTCTTCCCCAGTCATCCCCACCCCATCCCATCACACACAGATAAAAAAAAGAAACACACCTTTCTTCTTCTTTTTAGTGGTTCGGAGTTTCTTGCGGCTGCGGCTACTACGGCTGGTAGAACCATCAGAAACAGAATAGCTATTGATACTGGCATCATCGAAGTCAGATTCCACATCTAAGTCATCATCCTCACTCTGACAGAATAAAAAAGGAGAAGGTTAGAGGTTGAAGCCAAGGGAAGGGGAGTGCTAGAGAAGGGATTCCTCTTTTACTAGGGATGCTAGAATCCCAGCAAGGACTATCATATAAGGAGCCTAGTCACCTTGTTCTAGGGCCAACTCTCCCCATGCTTACATGCCTACTGTGAAGGCTAGATCCCGACATAGGTAACATCCTATCAGATACGGCACCCTCACCAACGGGATAGGCTGGGCTCTCACCGAGGATCTCTTACGCTTAGAACCAAAACCTCCCAGCTTGATTTTCAGGGGAGCTACTTTCTTGGGTTTAGGCTTCTTGGCATCAGGTACACGAGGGCTGCCCTTGGGCTTCCTCCGAGCATTGGGACCTAAAACCAGAAGAGTGCAAGTAAGATCATACAATCCAAATGCACAGCAAAGGGCAGAAAGAGGGGAAGACAGTAAAGTGTTCTCTACCTGAGCTGGTTTCCCCGTGTCCAGCTTCCCAAATGTCCCTCCTAAATCCAAGACTCATTCCTCCCTCCCACTTCTATCTTTAGGCTGACAGAAGAACATCTCCATGTTTTCTCTGTCCTCATATCCCAAGCCCACATCAGTCCCATTGGGTCCCATTTCACCTTTGCCCTCCTTGGTCTTGGCCTTGCGGATAGGCACCTCCACAGGGGGAGGAGGTGGTGCAACTTCAGTGGCTGTCACCATGCTCTCCACGACAGCCACCGCTGCTGCCGCTGCTGCCGCCACTGATGCCCCAGAACTGCCTTTGAAGGGGTTGTTGGTGCTAAACTCACGCCACTTTGCACCCAAAACCATCATCATCTTGGAGACAGCAATCTTGGGGTTTTTGGCAGCAATGAGGGGTCTGGTGGAGAGATGGACAAGAACAGCAAAGAAGGAAAAGTTTAAGAATAAAAGAGAGAGAGAAAGAGAAGTGAAAAGAGATTACAGAAGCACTCTCCTCCCCTAGCCCCAAAACCCTCTTGTTACCGGACAAACTGGCTAAAGGCCTTGTAGTTGGTGAGGGTGCGATAATCCTCCTCTGAGAACACATGGTCAATGTCTTCCATGCCCCAGTCTTCCAGGAGCTGAGCGGACGATTTAGGTTCCTGCAGAGAGAGCAAGGTCAAACACCTGACATCTAGTGCCCACCCCTGCTCAGGGAATGAGTTGAAACAAAAGATTGCAAGACCAGGGGAGGAGAGTGGAGAGAAAATCATTATAAACAGGAAGAGAAAACATTCTAAGGGGCAGTGGAGTATCTGGGAGACAAAAGACAGAAGTTGACAGCAAGCACAGGGAAGAGGACAGAGATCCAGGCACCTTTGAATCATCATCATCGTCATCCTCCTCCTCCTCTTCCTTCCTCTTGGATTTGCTCTTCTTTTCTTTCTTAGGTCCAAGCTTCTTCTTCTTCTTCTTGCCAGGGGTATAGTCGCTGCCCTCACTGTCTGAGCGCAGAGCCACCTCTTCCTCCTCCTCCACAAACTCCGGCCCCTCCCCAGAGCTGTCCCCCAGCTGCCGGCATAAGAGCATACGCTGGAGCAGGGAAGGGGGAGAGGGAGAGGGAGACAGACACACACATGCTACACACATGCTGACCTCAGGACAGCCCTGAGGCTCATCCCCAGGACCTGGCCCACCACTCCAGAAGAAACAAATGCCATGCCAC